CTCCCCCAATATGGATGAAAACCTCATCACCCTGCACAAGCGAGATAATTATCCCGTCATAGAATTGTTCGTTCGTTAATCCTCCTAAGTCGGAATCACGACTCATTGGATAAAATAACTTCGCTCCACCTAGGACAACACCACACCCTCCGTCGTAGAGCCCCATCCAAGCGGACTCGTCCATGCCATCTATTCGACCGCGGCACCGACTACAATGCATGCATCTCAATTGTCCCCCCTGCAATCCTACATCATTATTATCGCTTGATTAGCATTACTCGGAACTGTTGTAGCACAATGGTTGCGGGTTTGCCCAAACCTGTGGCTAGTCAGTCTTTCGATTTGCCTACTTTCCACATGCCGATCGCCTGTCGGAGTTTTTTTTTCTGCTGAACGTCATAGTGACTGCAAAAGAGTACCTGTGCCGTGGAGAAGAGCAGTCATCTATCCCCAGCTTGGACAGGCCCTGCACACGGGACGCAGTTAATCAAAACTGCCCCAGGGGTACTATGTCGCCTTTCTTGCGTGAAGCACGGATGTACCTCTAGCTGTACATTGGGCGATCCAGACAGGCAGCTGGGGCTTTGTTTTTCTGGCCAACCATGGAGGTCCAAGTGAGTGACACGCACCAAAATGGCCCCACTTCTGGACTGAACACAAACGCACTGTTCTATACCCTGAAGACCCGAAGACAGTGTGGCGTGGCGATGACCAGTCGTGAAAGCTACTGCCGAAGACGAAGACAGAAAAGCGCGTTACTGCTTGTGGTTGTTATTCCAGCCGGACCGGGGTGATCCGAGTGGAACCACGCCGCCTCGGCTGCTGCGTTCCGGACTGACTACTCAACTGTGTGTGAGCGCGAGGCTCATCAGCTTGACCTAGTTACTGGACTGGACATGCGGTAGGAACAGCGGCTTAGCGGCGATCAATAAATACCTCCTAGGGGGGTATTAAAGACGACGTTCACTAGATGTCCGGTCCGGTCGGAGGGGTGCACGGCATTTGCGAGAGTGCAGTGGGCTTGTAGCTAGCTCTGCAAACAGATCCTGTATGAGGGGGGGGGGGAGGGGGGACAGAACTGTTGCCGCGTAAAACACGATAAGCCCGATCAGCGTTATCTTGCAAGATTGACGTCCCCCTCTCTCTTAGTTTCTTACGGCTCGGCTGCTTTATTCTTAAAAGTTTTTTGGCTGAATTTCTTTAATGCATCTCCAGTGACTTCTGAGAAGGCTGTCTCTTTAGACCCCCACTTATGGCCTTATGCCATTCCGATTTACACTGCATCATTTGGCGCAAGCTTCCCTTTAACTGAGTCGTGTATTTCTACCTCAAAAGTGTTTGCCGGTCTTCTTTTATTCCGAATCATCTCGTGGTAGTGACCATCTCACGAGCATCTAGTTTTCATTGAGGAAACTTTCGCCGCTCACCGCCTAGAGTAGCATTGTTGACTCTTTAACAAACCACCGTACCTGTTGGCAAAAGGCTAAGCACTCCCTGTCGCCATCGACTGGTCCTCCGGTACCTATCACCTAGATTCCTGCGCGTTCAGCGTCAGTAGTTGTATGGGGATGTGTTTGCTCAACGTCTTGCAGTAGTTGCCTGGTCAATTTGTATCAGCGGTCTAAGAGGTCGACCAATATCTGCCGGCCGAAGATGTTCTTCCGCTTTGTCCCCTCTGGATGTCGGGTATGCGGAAACTGATTCTGCAGAGTTGTACCCCGAAAACTTGTCAACAGATGAACTGTGGAAGATGGGAGCTGTCTACTATCCGCCAGATAGTAGGTGGACAAACCAATGAAACCCAGATGATCAGTCTGGCATGTCTTCGGGCGGTATGCACTTTATTTTCCAGCTTACTCCGTCGTGTAAAAAAACTCGGTGACCTCTGTGGGATTCGAACCCACGACAGCAAGGGGAAGGCTTGAGTACAGCCAACACTCTAGCCACCCGAGCTAGGAGGCCCCACCGGGAGCAGTGAGTCTGATCACACTTGGGTCAGGTTACCCGTCCGGCCTACTTCAGCGCATGGCATCCACCAAATCGGATACAATAAGCTGGCTGCCCAAGCAGGACTTCCTAAGTAATCCATCAAGAGTCCAGCAGACGATTACCAGGGTTGGAAGGTTGCCAACTGAGGGGATAACCCGGACCTCGTAGGCAGCCCATTGTGAGTATTCGTGCGGAGTGGCGGACTGATGGACTGAGAGTCAGGCCGCAACGACCCCTTTTTAACGTGGCCTCTACGGCACTCCCACTCTGTGAGATTCGAGCCAGGGTGTGACGACGCGCGTTAAGGTGTGGGTTTTCGCTGTGCCAGCCACATGTACACTCTCCCACCTCCGGTCTTCTTGGCTATGTCGCGACACCGGGCTTAGGTGTAAGAGGAGGGCGTGTGGTAGATGCTGCGCAAGTCCGTCTTAACTATAAACCAATTCACGCCAAAGTCACCGTCCCTGTTCTCACATCGTCGAAATCGACGGTCGAACTGTCAAGCGGGCAAAGATAACGAAGGTAACCACAAATGGCGGGAAGGAGTCTCTCACATTTGAGGTAAAATCTTTGTCGATATAAGTCAGGAAAGTGCACAACGGGAAAACTGTTTAACTGTTTTCCTGAGTTCCCTCTGGAAAGAAGTAAGATTATGCGAACATACATCTGCGATTGAGACCTTGAGGCTTAATGAACCCCAACGTCGACAGAAAATCCGCAGCAATGTTACGGATGAAAAGTTCCACTGACACACGGAAGAAAATGCCGTGCTTGCATGGGATTTACATCGGCTACCTACCCCTTTGAGGAACACTAGCCAGCCCTTCAGGATGTTGCCTTGTGAAAACGTGCTCCCGACGTGTCCATGATCGGAGGATCGATTTAAGTCATCACGAGCGAGGTGAAAAGGCAAAAAAATCCGTATTAATAGGTGCTTTGACAGATTTTTAATAATAACCAACTGTGAAAACCTTGGCGACCGCGGTGGGATTCTAACCCACGACAGCAAGGTGATGGCTTTAGTACAGCTGTACTGCTGTCCCCAATATAGCGCATGGTTTACCTGCATAGCGAAGAGGACTTCGAAACACTCATTCTGCCAGCATCTACCATGCTCCTCGCATAATAGAGATATGTATATGCGGACGGGGTTGGTCCGGTGGCTGATAAATTTAAACGGGTCCTCTACACGCGCCACACACGGCTATCTACCTAATTTTTCCTTTGAGGAACACCAGCAGGCCCCCTCAGGATGCTGTCTTGCGAAAACTTGCTCCCAGCGTGCCCACGATCGGAGGATCGATTTAAATCGTCACGAGCGAGGTAAAAGGGTGGAAAATCCATATTAATAGGTGCTTTGACAGTTTTTTAATAAATTATTTTGAACCAACTGTGAAAAGCTCGGCGACCGCGGTGGGACACGACAGCAAGGTGAAGGCTTTAGTACAGCTGTACTTCTGTCTCCGGTGTAGCACAGAGTTTACCTGCATGTGGATTTTTCATAGCGAAGAGGACTTCGAAACACTCGCTCTGCCAGCATTTACCATGCTCCTCGCATAACAGAAATAAATGCGGGTGGGGTTGGTCCGGTGGCTGGGAAATTTAAACGGCCCCTCTACACGCGCCACACACGACCTGGCCCTTTAATCCACATCTACCGGACGGAAGATTTCGGGTCTCACATAGGTGAGGGTGCCATAGAGGCCATATCAAGCAGTGGTCGTTGTCGCCTGACGCTCAACTCCAAACAGGACCGAGTTATTGTGTCAACTGGCAACCTTCCAAGATAGAACTACTGACGACTGCCAATGGGTTCAATCACAGCAGGTTTAGTACCCTGTAAAGGGCATTTAATTGTTACGAAAAGGGGCGCCTTCATGTTGACCGCAGTCTTTCCTTTCGTCCCGCCTCCCGCCATCTGTTACAGTGGCCTGTCCGAGACTGTCAACCAACTGGACGTGAGATGGAGAGCAATGACTGACGCCGCGTGAACCCGAGTTTGGCGCGTGTACGTCCATAGAGGAGGACTGTGGGGCAGACTCAGCGCAGGGCGAGTAGGGTCATGCTGTGAGCTAGTCCGGTCGCCGTTTTCGTCCATCACACTGCTGGCGCAGCCCACGTTGGGCGGAGGGGACCGGCACATGTACAAATTCAAGGAACCCGTGCCTCCGTGCGGGAACAACATCTCGCTTATGGCTACCTAACCGTTACAACCATGGTGCACTTATTAACAGCAGCCTTCAGGGTCCTTGCTGGAGTGTTTTTCGCCGCCACCGAGACCTATATCTGTGATGGCTCCACTTAGGCCCCCGTGCGAAACTTCTTCACCCCTTCGGAGTGGCGACTGATTGTTCACATAACCGGTCATGCGTCTCCGATAACACACAGTCAGTAATCCAGTTCGTGACGACTGCCCGGTACAGGCCTCATGCTTTAACGTCACCCATTTTAGCGCCCGTAAACTCGGCAGTTGGGCTGTGGTATATTCCTTGGCGCAATAATAATAATAATAATAATAATAATAATAATAATAATAATAATAATAATAATAATAATGGTCGAGAGGAAGTGGATGCGATGAAATAAGAGCTTTTTTCGTCTGCCGTCTCGTATTCACGCCCGAACCCATCAGCAGAGACAATATTATATTCATACACATCAAGTTGCAGCATTTATAGGATGCAGTCGCTACTGCATACCTATGATAATTAACGGCTCCTCCTTCACCAAGGACGGTTGCTTTCTGGTGCGCTAACGACTTGATGGCCGGCATCCAAGTCCTTAATTGCTGAAGTTCGATGTTGGCGTGATGATTCCTCGGCCACCCTGCTCACTGGCCTGCGCGCTCCCTGAGTGGCTTATCACTTTGGCTAGCTAAATCTGTAGCGGCACAGCAGTGAGAATAAGTGCTCGGCGAGCTACAACGACCAGGTCGAGTCCCATGTTGGAAGGGAGAAGACAGAAGGCACCAGAATGGGGGTTTAATTTATGCAGAACCTGGAGTTTCCCTCTCAGGCAGCAGTGGCCACTGGCGACGCCAGGGCTGGTGTTGACTGCATCCAGTCATGCATGAGAGTCTTTTGGACAGTGGTGGCAGCCACTTTCGTAGGCTCGTGGGCCAAGCTCAAGTGGTCTCCAATCGGTGTGTATTGCATTTGCCGAGGGGTGGTGTCCCAGTGGCTTGTTTTGCTGGTTGCAGTGGGGTGGCGCATGGACAGCAGCGACGCAGTATGGACGCAGTTGTGTCCGAGCTGAAGTCGGTCGAGTGGCTTCAGGTCAGCGCGTCTGGAACGGCTGGCTGCAAGGGGTGAATGAGCTTGAGGCAGCGAGGTCTTGAACAATGACACCAGACCGGTCATTATGGCTGCCCATTACAAGTCTCAGCACCGTACATGGGGTGGGGAGGTCATTTGTTAACAGACTGGAGTCCCCTAAATTATGGCTCAAGCAACTCGCGGTTCATGCGACTGTCAGCTCGGTTTCGGTCTGATCTAACTTAAATGTGTGGCCAGATCTCGTCGGATGAACCGACATCTAAGTTGGCTTCGCACCGCATTTGCGTGTTCGACTATAATAATAGTAATATTAATAATAATAACAGTAATAGTAGCCGCGGTGACGACTGCGGTGGCGGCGGCGGAGGAGGAGGTCGCATCATCATCATCATCATCATCATCATCATCATCATCATCATCATCATCATCATCATCATCATCATCATCATCATCATCATCATCATCATCATCATCATCATCATCATCATCATCATCATCATCATCATCATCATCATCATCATCATCATCATCATCAGCAGCAGCAGCAGCAGCAGCAGCAGCAGCAGCAGCAGCAGCAGCAGAAGTGGTGGTGGTAGTAGTAGTAGTAGTAGTAGTAGTAGTAGTAGTAGTAGTAGTAGTAGTAGTAGTAGTAGTAGTAGTAGTAGTAGTAGTAGTAGTAGTAGTAGTAGTAGTAGTAGTAGTAGTAGTAGTAGTAGTAGTAGTAGTAGTAGTAGTAGTAGTAGTAGTAGTAACCATTTATTGGACTTTCCTTCGAGACTCTCTAATATTTTGAATGTGCTCACCCCTTCTCCCCGCCGTCACTATGCTTGTTGTTCGCCCCTGGCTGAGAAGGGTAACTAATTCAGAAATGGCCAGTCCATTGTTTCTTCGGTTTGTAGGTAAAACTGCGTCATTACCGCTTCTCCTCTGAGCAGCCGCCTGTGTGGGCTCTACATCTGGGGCGCCAAAGCGAGACAAAACCGCTCTGTATTCCGCCCTGCATTGGCCACCTTGGACTCCTATATCAATAGAAGGGGGAACAGTTTAAAGTCTTCATTACTTCCAGAGATTTGTCCCGACACCTGTCTACTGGGCAAGCTTTTCCATCTTCCCGTCTAGGATAAATATACATTCAGATCGCGTCTGGTCTGCGTAAATAAACAGTCGTGGTCGGAAGTCCCGCTCAGTGTAAAAGGCGCTGGGACGTGTGTGCACACTTTCTGCACGTGGGTTTGGGAGGGGGAGGGCAGGGTTCGGGGTGAGGAGGGGGCACCAGCGTGGCCGTTCCAGGTGCTGTTTACTGTTTATGTCAGATGTGGGGTGACAGAGTAAAGTTCTTTTGAGGATAGTTCAACCACATGAATGGGTAGGTCGGCTGATCGCTCCACACCCTTCACCCCAGTCCTCCCTCCCCACGACCGCCACACATTCCGCAGGGAACACGTGATCTGGATTGATCCACGAACGCTAAACTACCTAGAACTAAATCGGGGAAAGGCGAAGTCATTATAGTATGGTGGAAGCTGATGAAATACCTGGAGGACAGCCAAAAACGTGTTCCTGGAGGCTGAGATGCAAGCAGCTAACTCATGCTTGCACTGCTCGTTCCCTGTTTGTCAACACCAAGTCGCATTTGTGCATGCTAAAACTTCAACCCACCGAGTGAGTCTAGCAGGTCATTCCGTCAATGTTTCCTTCTTCCACTTCAGGTATGTACCAGTGTCACATAAACATTTGGAAATAAAAGAAAGACCCTTATCCTGCTTCATACGGCCAGGAAGGAGCTGTAATTGCAAGAGTCAGAGGACCAATACTACCGCGAATATCTACAGATGTATGTATGTTTTGTTATTTTTCTAGGCGGTGGTGGTGGTGGTGGTGGTGGTGGTG